CTCGTCGAGCGAGACAGAAAGAGCAGGAGAGCAGCCCCAGAGCCGCAGCCCTCGTGGGAGAGAGGGGCAGGGCTGTGCGCGCTTGCTTTGCTGGGATCCTGCGTCACTCCCGGCCTCCAGCGGGGGCTCAACACTGCCTCTGGGTGTGGCACCTCAGTCCAGGGACCCGTGCGGTGCGGCGGGCACCCCCCCCAGCCATCACAGCCTCTGCTGGCGCAACGCGCTCTGTGCCACAAGAAGTTGTAGCAGCAGCGACATTCATCGTTGAGCAGCGTCAGCACCAAGATGAGAGACGGGAACGGAAACGTTTTCTGGGTGGAACAGAAAAGTCACCAGAGCCGAGAGCAAGGCCCCACTTGGTGTCGCCATGCCGTGCTTCCACCTGACCGTGCAGGGAAAGACAGACACGTGCCTCTCCCACGTCTCAGGCTGCCACACGCCTTCACCGACCTCATGTCAGACCAGGGTCTCCATCAATCTCTGGGCTTCAGAGGAAGTGATAACACTGTTTATAGGACCCCGTCATCTGAAGGATGTGCTCAGTGCCTCATGGTGATCATTTCACTGCATCCTCTCAGCAGCTCTGGAGCTACACTATTCCCACTGTGCAGAGGAGGAAAGGACACAGTAACTTGTCCAAGGCCACACAGCACAGGCAGAGAGGCAGGAAACCAAACCCAGGCAGCTAGGGCAGAGCTGTGACTCTTAGACCTCCCTGGGACAGGCCGGCTGTGGTCCCTGGGCGCAGAGGACTTAGCCCCGCGGGAGGGACAAAAGGAACAGAAACAGTAAGTACAGCCAATCCCCATCATTCATGATTCCACATCTGAAAATTCACCTGCTCACTAAGAATTCCTCACCTGTAAGCCTCAAATCAATACACACAGCATCTTCGTGGTCACTCACTGACGTGCACAGAGCGCCAGAAGTTTCCAGGGTCCCACACACAGGCCCGTAGCTGTGGTGGAACAAAGGCACCTCTGCCTTCTCCTTTCAGCTCTCACACCATAAAGTGGCCTTTTCCAGGCCTATTTCACGCCACACCTTTTGCATTTCCGTGTACTTTGTTGGTGCTTTTTCTATTTACAGTGGCCCCCCAGCAAAGAGCTGAAGCGCTGCTCCTCAGAGCCGGAGGCCATGAGGTGCCTTAGGGAGGAACCACGGGTGTAGATCAGCTCTGCTCAGGCATGAGTTACAGGGCTGCCAGCCAGGAGTTCAAGGTTAATGAACCACCAATATAGAGTCGGTAAGGTGTCTTTAGACAGAACAGCGCTCGCTGCCCTGTCCTGTCACCCGACGCAAGTGGGGCTGCCCAACGCAGCTCAACTCCATTTCCTGGGCCCCGAGCAGAGGGCTCACCGTGCAGCCGGGGCCCCGAGGGCAGCGCCCAGAGATGGTCAAGCCCACTGGGGTAGACAGTCACATCTGTCCAGAAGCTCGCCACCCAGTGCCCTAGAAATATATCTTTTCTCTTCAAACTGCCTAGAGGGGATTATGCTGTCTGCAGGCCTCACCCTGGCCCAGGGACCAGCAGGTTTTCAGCTGGAAGGATGAGGTTTGCACCAAATAGCAATGGGGTCAAACAGACCCAGACCTGAGTCCCGTTTCCACGGTCTCTGTCCTGCGTGATCTCAAACACATGACAACTCACTCAGCTTCACCCGTGATCACCAAGAGTACACAACCCCGAATGGCTACCAGGACCCCTCACCAATGTCTAGCTTTTGATTTCTCTGGGGAACTGCCCCCTTTACCTCTAAAATGGGTCACCGGTTCTGACGTGGATTAAATAAAATGGCATAGGAGAGGCTCCGGCAGGCTGCCCCGCTGTCTGCCCTCAGCCCTCCCAACTTCTCTCTCCTTGAAATAGCGCCCCACGAAATGCTGATGGGGCAGCAGGACCCCCATCACCCCGCCAGGGCCACAGAGCCGGGAGCAGAGGAGTGACTCTCCACAATGAAGACAGGACACTTGGAATCACTTGTCCACATCCTCACTCAGACATAAAAGGGGGGGGTCAAGGTCCCTGACAGAAGGCCACTGTGGAGGGTCCATTCCAGGACAGCAGGGATTTCCAAAGATAAATACAGCTTACGTAATGCTTCTGTGTGCGTGTGGTTTTTTGGTTCTTTTTTTCAATCGGTAGGGACTAGGCATGGAAGTGCAGATAGAAGAGAGGGCTGCAACATCATTTTCTAGCCCAAAGACACGGTTCTATAGGCTACCAAACCCTAGAGAGAGTTTTGCCCTGGTGGAAGCATGGCTGAGACCCTGTTTCCTGCCGGCCAAGGCCCCCGCCTTTGCAGGTCTAGGGGCCCAGTTGCGCCTTCTTCCAGGGACCCAAGCAAGGTGCTGCAGCTCCAGGTGAGAGCTCAGGGCATCAGCAATGAGTTCACCGATGCAGGTCAGCCTCACCGAGGAGCCCTGGAGAGTTGGGGGAAGGGAGGGAACTTCAGGGAGGGTAATGTTTCCACGTGAGGGAAGCTGTGTATGCTTTCTGGAAGGTGGCTATGCAAGGGTCTGCAGGGCCTTGGCAGCAGGGGCCACAGAGGCAGCACTTAACAACCATGAGAACTCGGAACGCCACATGAGTTCCACCGAGGTCAAGTGCAACTGAGGAGGGGCCAGATCCGGGTAGGGGGTTAAGAGGTACAAACTATTATGTATATGATAAATAAGCTACAGGATATATTGTACAGCACAGAGAATATAGCCGATATTCTATAATAACTATAAATAGAGTATAACCTTTCAAAATTGTGAATCACTGTGTCGTACACCTGTAACTTAGATAATATCGTACACCAAGTATACCGCAATTTTGGCTTCCCTGGTGGCGCAGTGGTTGAGAGTCCGCCTGCTGATGCAGGGGACCCTGGTTCGTGCCCCGGTCCGGGAGGATCCCTACATGACGCGGCGCGGCTGGCCCCGTGAGCCATGGCCGCTGAGCCTGCGCGTCCGGAACCTGTGCTCCACAACGGGAGAGGCCACAACAGTGAGGGGCCCGCGTACCACACACACAAAAAAGTATACCTCAATTTTGAAAAAAAGTAGTTTCGAGAGGTCTAAGAAAAAAAATCAAGAGCTCTTGAGAACCCCTCTGATGGAACGCAGTGTGGTGGATGGACCCGGCACTGCAACAGTGCTTAGAGGTACGTGCAGACGCTTGACAGGGGCTCCAAGGGAGCAGTCAGGTGATGAAACCAGACAGGGGCCACCCCTGCTGTGAAACACACAGCCGGCATTTAGAAACCGCGCCTGAAGGACAACAGTGACGCGGGCTTCACCTCTAGACAGCAGGAGGGTCTGCATCGCAAAAACACTGACGCGAGCCCAGACACCCCCGGTGCACAAGTAGAGGAGCCTCACGCCCCCTGGCGTGGACCGCAGACATCCCCAGCCGCCGGTCCCGGCATCAGCAATGAGTTCACCGATGCAGGTCAGCCTCACCGAGGAGCCCTGGAGAGTTGGGGGAAGGGAGGGAACTTCAGGGAGGGTAATGTTTCCACGTGAGGGAAGCTGTGTATGCTTTCTGGAAGGTGGCTATGCAAGGGTCTGCAGGGCCTTGGCAGCAGGGGCCACAGAGGCAGCACTTAACAACCATGAGAACTCGGAACGCCACATGAGTTCCACCGAGGTCAAGTGCAACTGAGGAGGGGCCAGATCCGGGTAGGGGGTTAAGAGGTACAAACTATTATGTATATGATAAATAAGCTACAGGATATATTGTACAGCACAGAGAATATAGCCGATATTCTATAATAACTATAAATAGAGTATAACCTTTCAAAATTGTGAATCACTGTGTCGTACACCTGTAACTTAGATAATATCGTACACCAAGTATACCGCAATTTTGGCTTCCCTGGTGGCGCAGTGGTTGAGAGTCCGCCTGCTGATGCAGGGGACCCTGGTTCGTGCCCCGGTCCGGGAGGATCCCTACATGACGCGGCGCGGCTGGCCCCGTGAGCCATGGCCGCTGAGCCTGCGCGTCCGGAACCTGTGCTCCACAACGGGAGAGGCCACAACAGTGAGGGGCCCGCGTACCACACACACAAAAAAGTATACCTCAATTTTGAAAAAAAGTAGTTTCGAGAGGTCTAAGAAAAAAAATCAAGAGCTCTTGAGAACCCCTCTGATGGAACGCAGTGTGGTGGATGGACCCGGCACTGCAACAGTGCTTAGAGGTACGTGCAGACGCTTGACAGGGGCTCCAAGGGAGCAGTCAGGTGATGAAACCAGACAGGGGCCACCCCTGCTGTGAAACACACAGCCGGCATTTAGAAACCGCGCCTGAAGGACAACAGTGACGCGGGCTTCACCTCTAGACAGCAGGAGGGTCTGCATCGCAAAAACACTGACGCGAGCCCAGACACCCCCGGTGCACAAGTAGAGGAGCCTCACGCCCCCTGGCGTGGACCGCAGACATCCCCAGCCGCCGGTCCCTGCGAGCCCAGAGATGCACAAAGATGGGCACTGGTGGAGTTACCTCCACAAGACTTGCTTTTGGCTATTTAATGTCTGGATGAAAGTAATTGGACAAAAATGTTTTGATTCTTCTCTCCCAAATCAGGTCTGTTCTCAACTGGTGGTTGAAAAAGACGAAAGGCCATGATCCCTATTCTTTGAAATCAGCCTCCAGGGGCTTCTTTCTATAAACCTGGCAGATGCCACCCTTCACTCCTTTCCTCCTTCATGATACTTGTGACCCAAACTGCATATCCCGTGGCAAAGAGAGAATATGTTTGAGAGAGACAGACTCACAAAAACAGAGATTAAATGATGCAGCCACATAACCAGGACACCAGTGTAATGAGCAAACAGAAATAAAACCAAGCCTGATTCCCACGAGTGCCCTCAGACTCACAACGGCAGCGGTCCTGGACGGCAGGCTTCCCAGCCTCCAAGCAGACTGCAAGGAGATTTCTGATCTAAATGTGAACAGGCTGCTTTTTGGGGGCCCTATTCTCTGGTAACTGACACAACGTAACCAGACTCACCTTCACCGTCTGCACTCAGGTTCTCGTACGAGTCCCAGCGGATCAGTGGGTCTGCCGTGTTGAAGTCCACAATCACCCCATGGTCGTTTTGCAAATGTTCACACCCTGCAGGGCGGTGGGACGGGGGCAACGGGCGTTAGTTAGAGAGAAGCCGGTGCCTCTGGGCATCTGCCAGCGATGAGGCAGAGAAGCCGCCGCATCTGAGTGTCCAAGCCCAGCACTCTGATCCACGCCCCCTCCCACAAGCCCTCCAGTAATCAGAGCTGCTGTGCACTGTTTGGGATGAACTGAACAACAGTGAACACCACTTGGCAGGAAGGAAAGACGAACATCGGTCCTCCACCCCACCGGGTACGGGGCTCTGGGCGCTGTTTCTGCACTAAGGGATCACCCGGATGGCTTGGCAGGTCAAGGACCCAGAGGCACCCAGAGGATCGGCCTCAGGGCAGGTGGACGGGAGGGGCGGGTTTGGGCCCTCCCTCGAGGCTCCCTGATCATTCTGAGAATGCCAGGCGGGTTTCTACCCCATAGCCTTGCATTTAATAGTTCATGCCTAAATCTACGGCACTGGGTGCTTCTTTTCCACAGCTATTAAAAACTGAATTAAAACTTTCACGAGTATGGATCTTGGCGATGGAAATGAACCATTTGCCTCCACGATAAAGGGACTGATTTCTCTTTCAGTGTATTTTTAGAAGAAAGGAGAGAGTCTGTTTTGCTCATAAATATTTGCAGTCTACTATATTTCTAATCCTCTTTAAAAATATGTAGCTGTTTGTTGAGCGAGAAGTAAACAGGGCATCAAGACACGGCCCCAGTCCTAAGGTTCTGGGCCCTTCCTTGGGTGAGCCACACCATCTCTGGGGTCTTATTGACCCACCTGGGCCCTACTGTCTCTAAGGCAATGCCCTCCCACTGTCTAATATCCTACTATTTTTTAAAATATATTATATTTCCAATTATGTGCAGAGGTGGGAAGCCAGGCAGAGGCCCCAGCATATGCATCACCTAACCAGGTCAGCATCCTGCCCCCTGGTTGTAGCATCCTGCATTCTACCCACCTTGAATCTTCTCAGGAGTGGCTGAGAAGACTAACTCAATCTTCCCATTATCAGGAAAACGGTCATCTAAAATAGAAATCTTATGTCAACAAATTTGGAGACAATGAGACAGGAAAGGGTGGATGAATTTTGTCCTCATATTCCAACCAGGACAACACCCTTCCCAAACCCCCAACAGCGCACCAATGACAGTGGTAGTATCAGCAGTTTCACCATTTCTCTAGAAATTTTTCTTCGTTGGGTCAGTTGCCAGTCTTTTGTGAGACTGGTAATGACTTTGTCCACAGGCTGACTTACGGGTGGAGCGGGGGAGAACAGCGAAAGAAACACATGAGGCCGCCGGGGGTCGCCCGCCGAGGGTCCACTCCCCACACCCCCAGTCTGGACTCGGGGCAGGGACCTCACCTTTGCTGGCGTTGTCCAAATCCTCCTTTGCAAACACAAGTCCATAGCCCTGAACAGCCCCGGTGTGAAACTGCAGGCGGAAAATGACGTCTCGGGTGGCCGAGCGGTACTTTTTGTGGTAGCACTTCACCTGGGGTAAAGAGGGTGCGTCCTCAGGGGAGCCCGTGCCCGTGGAAGGCGCCTGTCGGGGGGTACACAGGCCGCTCCCTTCCAGGAGGGGCTGGGAGTGCGCGCAGCCGCCAGCAGTTCCCGACCCAGGAGACGGGCTGCAAACGTCACCGCGGCTTTGGTCCTTCCGGAGGACACCTGTGCTGTTCCAACAGGACAGGAATCCCACAGTCCTCAGTCCTCAGACGGACCACACCTCTACTTTGGAAGACAGCTGAGGAATGAAATTCCGTGGCCTCTTCTTTCTCGTTTCATCTAAACTCTCCATGTTTCACCTTAAAGCCTTTCTGTTCTCATGAAAGAAGCAGGCGGTCACCACTTTCTGGACTACGCTCAATATTTATGTTGCGTGCTATAATTCAGAGAGAGAAAGAGAGAGATGGGGAGAAGGGAGAGGAAGGGAGGGGCAAGGGAGAGAGGCCTTGGAATTGAAATTCCACTGCTGGGCTGTCCAGACATCCTGAATGGTCACTTGAGACCAGTCTCCAGAATCACCAGGGATGTGATTTGAACTCAGGCTGTGGTTCCGTGGCCCTAGGTCCCTGGAAGCAGCTCAGGCCCCTGGAGTGACTGTGCTGCTATGGAGGGTGGAAGCACCCCTTCCTGGCACGTGGCAGGGAAGGGTGGGCAGGGGAGAGGCCCTGGTGTCGTTTCCCACCTTTACACGGGGGCCTCCCTGCCCCTGCCTGAGGGGTCTGTGGACGGCGCTGGCCACGAGGAGGGCTCGAAGGTCATGGCGGGGTGGCGTGCTGCAGGAGAGGGGACCCTTCCTCCCTCCCACGGCAGGGCAGGGCTCCTTTCCAGGGTCCCCAGGGGTCCAAGACCAGAAGCAGGCTGGATCTTGCCCTCAGACACTCAGCAGAGGTGGCCACTCCCTGCACTGAGCATGCCCGGGAGGAGGGGAGTCTGGAGGTGCAGGGACCTCAGAGGCAGCCATGCTCACAAAAGAGACTCTGCTCGGAAAAAGCCGGGCTTCAATGATTCTGTGCAAGGTCACTGACCGTCCAGACCAGCGATGCGGGAGGATGCCGCAGGTGACCGGTCTGTAACCCTCACCAGTGAAACCACCACTCGAGAGAAAAAATAAAGGCCCAAGGAGCCGCGGCCAGCGTGTCGGGAACTGTGCCCCTTAGGGTAGACCCAGAGGTCGTCTACCTTTGTGCTATCTACAAGGAGGCAGTCTGATGAAAAAATGTAAACAGACCGTCAGGGGAGTGTTTCACGTTGCCAAACACGAGCTGAGCATTGACGAGGCGGGAGGTGCCAGGCGGCCTGTGCACACGCGGCCAGTGGGGATCCAGACTCAGGCCTGGCCTTCGCCTCTGGCCAGGGAACCGGCCAACGAGAATTCTGCAGAAGCGTGAAACCTTCAGTTTGCTTTCCAACAGCAAATGGATCGCCGGCCGCAAGTCCTCTCCCACCCGGTCTGGGGTCTCTGGATCCTCAGCAGGGCTCCCTCAAAGGCTGTCCTCTCAGCCTTCCTTCCAGAATGTGCTACCTGCATCCTCACCCCTCCAAGGCCCTCGCCCCACACTGACCGCGCTGACCGCTCAGCAGAGGTCCCACACGTGCTGCGGTGGAGACTCCCACGCAGAGGACGTGCCCATCTCTGTGGGGTGATGGACCGCCCCCTCTCCGTTTGCCTTTTTCCACTGGTACCTTGGAAGTACGAGGGAAAAAGGGGAGAAGACTAGAGAAAAGGAAAGAGAGTTTCAGGCGCACACCAGTCTGGCCCTTAAATCTTTATCAATACTGAGGCGGACTGAGGCTGTAAAATAACCCAACAAGGCCTCCAGAAGCTGACATCCACTGAGGGAAGCAGCCCCAGGCCAGCCCACAGGGTCACGCTACACAGAGCTGGCAGCTCCCCCAAGCTGGCACCAGGTGCCTGTGGGCAGGCAGAGCCCCAGGTGGACACGGGGGCGTCGCAGGTGCTGGGTAAAGAGGCATATGCAGCCTCGGGGCAGCACAGAAGGCCCAACGACAGCTCCCTTTCAGGGACACCTTCTCCTGCTCTGAGTTGAAGCGTTCATCCTGCAGGCAGCTCTTGACGGCTGCTCATGCCAACCAAGAGCCCCCAGCCCCGGCTCCCACCTTCCCCAGAACCCAAGACGTTCTGTGGACTCCCCTCCTCTGGTCTCACCATCACTCATCACAGCATCATCACAGCAGACACACACACACACACACACACACACACACATACACACACACACGAATCCCAGCCCACTCCAGGCACCAGGCAGGGGAAGGCAGACATCACCACACACCCTGGGGCACGGGTGGGACAGCAAACAGGTTCACCCTCCCTAGGCTGCTAGCTCCCAATCATTCTGGGGCACAGGCACCTCCCCAGGCCCAGCATGACTCTAGTGTCTAGTGTTTTTCACACGACAAGGGTTCAGGGTGGAAGGAACAGCGGGGTATCCCACTGCCACAGAGCAGCCGCCCTCTGCGCATACGTGCCCTCGCCGAAGGGTTTCCGGGGCCTCCTGAAAACCCTCGCTGGTGGAGACCTGAGCCCTCCCCATACTCCCGCCCGTCGTTTCACCATGGACTCCTCTTCCCACTGCCCAGGATGGTACCCGCCATCCCCTCCAGTCCTCCTGGCCACCTCAAGAATGACCCCCACTTTCTCCTGAAGGAACAGAAAACCGCAGACGTCTCGGTCACGTGGGGTCCTGGCAGCTCCAACAGGAAAGGAGATGGACCCACCCAGCAGGAGACCCGCCCGGGGGGCCTCTGGCACCCCCTGCAGAGCCAGGAACGATGCATCATCTGCACCAATAAATCTTAGTAGCATCAGTGACAAGAGACCAGAATCAGGCTCCTAACACTCCATGGAAAGAACCGTCAACATTTTGCTTGACAGTAGTGCCCAAAATGCGCCTTTTAAGGTATAAAGTATTGGTAACATTTTGCAACAATTAGAGATTGAGGTCTGTAATACCCCCTTCATCCCTCCAGCTTAGCCGTTCTGTTTACCTAGGTCTCCCCCAGAGAGTTTCTAAGAACACATCAATCCTCTGCCTTTGGATTTTAGAATACCTGCATTTGAAACAACAATTTCAACGCACTTTGCTGGTGGCCCCGGTGGCTGTCTACACAGGCATCAAGGAATGTGCGTCCTCAAAGATGATGCTACAGCCACACATGCTTAAAGGCTTAATAAGCTTGATGGCTGCCTACCTAAGTGAAAATACCTGCATTATCCAGCGCCAGCACTAACCATGATTTCACTTCACTTGGAGGTGAAAATGATTTCAGAGGGTGGCAAGGCTGTAACTCACTTCCTAAACCATTAGTAGGTCAGCAGTACTGGCTGTGAATGAAAACACAAGTAGGTCCACTGGGCTGAGATGAAGAACGGATCAGGCCCGATCCACGTCCAGGAGACCCACGGCACAGCGACGGAGAAGGGTGCGCGCACAGCAAGTCCCAGGACAAAACGGCACAACAGAAGTCCTTTAACGACCCCCGCGGGAGCAAATCCAGAGAGGCCTGCAGACGCCTTCATCTTCCCTGATCTTACGTAAGTGCCCTTAGCAAGAAACAATAAACTAAGGTGCTGTTTGTTTGCAATGGCTCCTTGAGAAAGGTTCCCTCTGTTTAGAAGTCAGGTCGCTGGAGCCAGGTCACGGAGCCCCGCCCCACGAGGACAGAACGTAAGTGGCCATGGGGTTTGCACAAGCAGAGGCAGCAAGACGAGGCATGTGGATGGGAAAGTGTTTACAAGCCCATCAGGGCTCTGGACCACAGCCAGGCTCCTGACGGGCCTGCGGCCCATGCGAATTCCTTAGCGAGGTTACATAATGACACGGCTGTACTCTCGAACGCCTCTGCCCTCCCACCCGACAGGAGCATGTTTACTGAACACCTGAGGCTCTGCCCTTTAGAAGTTCTGGGGTGGTCTCGAAAATCTGACCCTCAGTGCAAGCACATCGCAAAGACGGGCGGGTCAGGTGTGCAGTGGGAAGGTGCGCACGGACAGGCTGGCAGTGTCCAGGCAAAGCTGGACAGCGGGTGGGTGTCACCATGGCCCCCAGTGACAGCCCTCCCGCCAGCCCCCAAGTCGAAGGAATGACAGACGGAGCCCCCTCCACTTTCCCACGTAGCATTCTCAACCCAAAGAGCTGATGAGGCCTTACTTCTTATAAACTGGACCCCTGTTACCTCTGTTAACCAGTCTCAATGCAGAATCCCTCACGAGGAAAGAGGCAGGTTTACCTGTGTACAAGGCCGGCATTTACCAAAATCAAGGAGGGGAAAAAAAAAATCAAAGGACAACATTCCACCTCACAGGATGGTGATCAAAGTGTCAACCTTCCCTGGGAGCTCCCTTCCACTTTCCAGAGCAGAGGCAGGCTCTGCAGACGCCAGAGCCCAGCTGAGCCCTCTGCAGCTGGGGGGTGGGTAGCCTATAAAAGCATTCTCTGCAGCTTAGGATTCTGTCCAAGTCACAATCGTTGCCAAATTCTTGATGAGAAATTAAACCGCCTACACATTTGAACCTTTACACAGAAAAGGCCCTGAAACATTCCCCATCTGCAGCTTTCTCCACTGAAGGAACGCCCACTGGATCCGCAGAGGTGCGCACCAAGCGATGACTCCCTAAAACTGAAGGACAGGGCAAACCGAAGTGCAGGGGTCTCCCACAGTTCATCTGCGACCAGGGGCTTCTCCTGCCTGGAGACTCTGGAAACCAGAGCCAACCTGCACAGCAGGAGGGGAGACGGCTCACGCTACTCCCCAGGAAGCTCAACCAACACGAAGGAACGTTCTGCCGCCCACCTACTTCCCTGTGTTGATCCCTGAGGTCATTTTCAGGTTGAACCAACAGCCCTGGGATTCCAAGGAGTCCACAGATCATGCAGCATAATGTGTCGCCCAGAGATTATGGTCTGAGTGTGGGGATGCCCTGGGCCTGTGCTCCAGGCCGGACAGCACGGCCTCGGAGACCCT